GCATGGCGGGGAGGGGAAGAACAGGGGAGCCAAGCTGTTTATAAAGTTTTAAACCGTTTATGGTCCCAGGGGGCAGATTAGCAATGCAGCCAGCTTCCCGCGCCAGCCAGCCCGTGCTGGCAGGCAGGAGCCCAGCAGCTCACTGGCCCTGGGCATGGCTCTGCTCCCCGCTTCCCAGCACCCACGGACCCCTCTTCTGCTCGCCGCCAGTCCACACAGCCATCTTTCAAGACCCCAGCCGCACACCCCTCCTCCAGAGCTTGCCCTTCTGCCGGCGGCATCACCCCTCCAGCCCTGAGCCCCCCCGCAGGCTTGCCCTGGAGCCCCACAGCCCTTTCACTATCAGCAGCCAGTGGGGTGCCCTCTGACTTCTGGCGTGGCCCAGCATGAAGAAGCCTGGACTTGGAGCTGGGAGGTATCCGCTGGCTGAGCCCTCCTCTCCCCAAATGACACAGGAGGAACCTGAGGTAGAAGGGAAAGCATCTGACTGTGGCCCTCCGGTCCAGAACCTGGTCCCAGGTTCACACCACCTGCTGGGCTGGGCAGGGCCGGAAGGAGAGGACATTGCTGCCCTTCCCCCATCGGTGCCCTGCCAGCACCAGCGGCAGCATTAGAGATACTCGGGAGGGCTTCCTGGAGGAGGAGGATGCCGCTGGACTTTGGTCAGGGTGGATCAGACATGGGTCCCCAGAGTGGACAGACCCAGCAATAGGGAATAGGGAAGCCAGAAGTGGGGGCGCTATGCAGCCCAGGGCGCTCTACTCCTGGGTCTGCTTGGGCTGACGGGATGTCAGGCGTCTGGGCCCAGCCTGGCCTGGGGACCTGGCGCCTGCCCTGGGCGTTGCCCTTCTGCCTCAGCCTTGTATCTGCGCAGAGAGCTGAACGGCTCCAGCTAGACAGGCCCCGGGTGTTGGAGTGGTGGCTGCTGACAGCCCTGGGCACCTGGCCCACGCTGGGCCGCCTGCCCCTGGAGGGGACCCAGGCCCAGAGGACTGAGGGCAGGGTGGCGAGGGGCCTTAGTGGCAGGCGCAGCCAGCACCCCCAAGGCCAGACAGGGACAGCATCATGGCTGTCACAGCCAGTGAATAGCACTGCACCCTTCATCAACGGACTCAAGGCGCCCATGGTGCTGGCCCATTCTACAGAGGGGGATGTCGAGGCACTTGGGGAGGAGGGCAGGGCACCTCCCCTTCCTCCCCTGAAGACTCCATCTTGCTGCAGTCTGGGGAAGCTGGCCCACGGAGCCCAGGCACTGGCTCCATGGTGGACATGAGCATTGCTTGGGTCCAGCAGCCTGCAGAGCCAAACCTGCCCAGCCGATCTCAGTCCTCGGCAGACGCCTCTGGCTCTGTCCACCTTGCCCAGTGTGGGGGGCCCCAGTGACCTGCCCTGGGCACCGGCTAGGTGGGAGGACACCACAGAAGGAGTCACTGTGAGGAACCTGGAAATGGGGCTCCTTGTGCCAGCTGCTGCTGGCTGCCCACATGTGGCCACTTCCTGCCACAGCCGGCCCCTTGCTTCCTTTGCCAAGGTCGGCTGATGGCAGGGAATGGCCAATGGCTCATGTCCCAATGCCAGTTCTTGGGAGAACAGCCACTGGTCCATCCAGACGCGCACAGGCTATGACCGGTGGGCAGCAGCCCCTTGGGTCAGGGTCTGGGGATGCCCTGACTGGCCTGGCCCTGTCCACTGTGGAGTGTCCCAGAAGGTCTGTCTTGCTTGCTCTAGGCGTGGTGATAGGGCCGAGGATGCCCGCCTGCCTGGGAGGTCCTGGCTTCCGCACAGACAATGCTGGCAGAGGCCTCCAGTCCTTGGCCTGAGCCACCTGCTCGCCCCCCATTGGAGCGCCCCATTTGGTGTCTGAATCCTGCTACCAGCACACATGCACCCTGGGAGGTGGCAGTGATGGTGCAGGGGGTCCTGGACACCCACGGGGGAGACCCAGGTGGACTCTGCTACCGGCTCTGACTTAGCCTGCTGGCGGTGCAGGCATCTGGGGCGTCAACTGGCCATAGGAACAACTCTCTCTTTCAGATTAGTTTTTGAAAATGTAAAGCACAGTTAAAATTGAGATTAAAAGCCAAGTAGAAACGGGACCGAGTGTGGTACTGAGGAGACCTGCTCCCCCAGACTCTGCACCCCAGGGCGACAGCAAGAGGGGGGACAGGGCTTCCTCGGAGTGCTGGGCAGCACCTGAGTCGCCCGGCCCCACAGGAGAAGCCCTGCAGGAATGCTGTTCGGCCAAGACCCATAGATGGTGGCTTCCGATGGGGCCCTTCTCACAGTGGCTTCTGCTTCCTGGAAAGTTGGCCCCTAGCTCGTGGTGACCGGAGAGCCCGGGACCCATGGCAACCCAGGGCAGGTGGGCAATGGGGCCCCTGTGGGAGCTCAGGAGACACGGGGGTCTGGGGTGCGGTTTAACTGTTCATCTGGGGTGGTGGCAGGTGTGTGATGCAAGAGTGCCGTGCCTGGGAACTGCATCATAGTGACATGGCAGGGACCTAGCCCACAGCCCCTCGCGACACCAGTCCTACACCAGCTTCAGAGGGGAGCTTGGTGGCATGTGGTGGAATGCCGGTAGGACCCGTCTGACCTCAGCACCTCCCTGCCAGCTGCCGGCCCGCTCACACCATGCCTGACAACCCGTGTTCTCCGCAGGGCCGCAACGGAACGGCCTTGGTGGGGCCACACACGCGACAGTGTCCGCGGAAGGACCTGTTGGTCAGCAGGTGTAGCGAGATGTTGTGCACAGAGCTCAGGGCACCGATCAGGACGGCCACGTCCCGCTCTGCCCGCTGTGCGCCTGGGGAGGCAGCGAGCGGCAGCTCGGGCTGTGGGTTCTGGCTACTTCACCTAGGGGTCCTGGATTGGGCTCCAGGCTCCGGGCTTCCACCCAGCCCAACACCAGTCATCGTGGGCGTCTGGGCAATGAACCAACAAATGGAAGATCTATTTATCTTGTCAAAACAAGTTAAGTGAATTATATTTTTAAAGAAATTGCCACTGCAGTGACTTGACACATAGGATAGTTCAAAAAAGTTATGGAAGAATGAAAACTATGTATTTATTTTGGTGCAAAAAGGGTTTGTTCTGGGTTGGCAATATAATGCATAGGCTTAAGTCTTTACTTGTGATACCAGAATCCCTGTGGCGCTGGTTCGTGTCCAGGCTGCTCCACTTTCCCTCCTGCTCTCTGTTGATGGCTGGGAGGCAGTGCTGCGTCCCCTGTCCCCACGGGGGAGACCCAGGGGAGCTCCTGGCTTCAGCCTGGCCCGGCCCCAAGGGCTGTGGCCGCGTGAGCCAGCACGTAGAAGATCTCTCTCTCCTGGTTCTCTGCCAGCTCTGCTTTTCAAGTACACAAAAATAAGTATTTTTAACTTTAAGGAAAGAGCCTGCACTGATCTCGAAATTGTTTTTATGCACCGGAACAGTCCCCTCCCTCGGATTCCGATTCTCCACATTTTGAAGTTCCCTCACGTGTGCAGTGAAAAGTCCCCACGAGACCCGGGGAGGCCGCCAAACTGCTCCACGCTTATTCTGAAATTGACACAGATCCGGGCCGGCAGCTTCCCGCCACGCGCCGTCTCGCAGGATAATCGGATAAGCCACAAGGAAGCACCTCTGGCAGGTTGTTGGAGGTCTGCCAGGCCTGGCCAGCGGAGGGGAAAGGACAGTGTATGGAAAAGCACAGTGTTGCCGGTGCGGCTGGACTGAGGCTGAGAGTGGCAGGATGTGCAGCCAGCCGGGCATGGGTGGGAGGGGGAGCCTGACCGTGGCAAGGCTAGACAGCTCTGAGTGTGGCTGGCCCCAGCAGCCAGTCACAGCATCACTCCCCGAGGCATGCTCAGAAAGCGACCGCTGGAAGCCAGCTTAGGGTGAAGGAACGCAGTGCCATGCCAGGAGACCCCACCTGCTCCAAAATGAAAGCGCCCCTCACAGCCCGACCGAGGGTGCCAGCCTGGCTGTGTCTTCTTCCGTCTGAGGCTTACGAGCAAATTGGTGGGCACTGGGGGTCCCTCCCAAGAGTTCTGGTCACTCCTTCCACCCCAACCCTGGTGAGCGGTAACAGCGAGCTCTGGACCACTTGGCGGACCTCGCTTCTGCTGCTACTGCCCTATACTGAGAATGTCCACGCTGGAGCCAGGGCCGCTGACAGTGACCTGCATACGCAGGCAAGGCAGGCGGCGCCGGGCACTCCCTCCTCATGCCGCATTTGTGGAATTTTTTAAAAAAACTTGTTAAAAAATACTCATTATTTGAAAGGCGGAGTTACAGGGAGAAAGAGCTCTTCCATTCACTGGTTCGCTCCCTAAACGGCCAGGAGCCAAGAGCGTGGGCCGTCCTCCGCTGCTTTCCCAGGCGCTATCGGGAGGGAGCTGGGCTGGAAGTGGAGCAGCCAGGACTCCGCTGGTGCCCACGCGGCCTTGGGCTGAGAGCCCACGAAGAGGGCAGCCTCCGAAAAGTTGTCGGAGCAGCACCTGAGACTGGCAGGTCCCGTCACCCAGCCACGTGGGCGTGTTAGGGCAGCAGTCGGGCCTCACGGTCGGACGGCCACGTCCCTAGCAGGGCACCCAGGTCTGACGCCTGCTTCTGGCTGCTCGGCTCGAGAAGCCGCAGGGAACGGCCTGACGTGAGTCCCCAGCTGCCGGCTCTGGTCCGGCCTGGCTCTGACTGTCACAGGCGTTTGGGAAAGAGAAACCACATCTGGCTACTCCAGGTCTCTTTCTCTCTCAAAAAATAAATACATACTTAATGCATTCCGGAAGACGCTGTAAATGCCGGCCCCAGGGCTCTCACAGGAGCTGGTTCTCGGCGTGCAGGACGACGGAGTTCTGGATGCCGCCGGTTAACACGGAGGGTTGGGAGGTGGGCCTGAGTGTCCTGCCTGTGAGCCCCACCCGGCCGACCCTGAAATGAGCTGGAGGGGGCTCTCGTGGCAAGGGGCCCTGGGCGACCCGGCCCGTGCTGCGTGTTGCAGGCTGCTGACGCAGAGCGGGCGGATGACAGCCGGGACAGTGGTCATCACTGGGGGCGTCCTGGCCACTGTCATCCTACTGTGCATCATCGCCGTCCTCTGCTACTGCCGGCTCCAGGTACGGCGGGGCGGAGGGCGGGGCGGAGGGCGGGGCTCCAGCGGGCGGGGCGGAGCTCCAGGGGGCGGAGGGCGGGGCTCCAGCGGGCGGGGCGGAGCTCCAGGGGGCGGAGGGCGGGGCTCCAGCGGGCGGGGGCGGGGCTCCAGCGGGCGGGGGCGGGGCGGAGGGCGGGGCTCCAGCGGGCGGGCAGGGCTGCAGGTCACAGGTCCCCTGCTGCACCCGCAGTACTACTGCTGCAAGAGGGACGAGTCGGAGGAGGACGAGGAGGAGCCCGACTTCGCCGTGCACTCCCAGCTGCCCCCGCTGCCCTCCACCCGTAGCCTGGTGCTCACCAACGGGCCCGGGCTCTACCCGGCTGCCTGCAGCTCCGCCGGCCAGCGGTCCCCACAGGCCCGCGCCCTGTGCCGCAGCTGCTCCCACCACGAGCCGCCCTCGTTCCTGCTGCAGGAGCCCGAGGACGACGAGGAGGAGGGCCTGTGCAACGGCGGGCAGCGCATGGTCTACACTAGCCTCAGCCAGGACGACCTGCAGTTGCCCCCGAGCGGGAGCTTTGGGGGGCTGCAGGCCCTCAACCCCAACCGCCTCTCCACCATGCGCGAAGCCTTCGCCCGGAGCCGCAGCGTCAGCACTGACGTGTGACCGCGTCCCACCTGCCCCCACGCCCCTGTGACCTCTGCGGGACCGCTCCCCACCCCCCCACACACGGCACGGCACCCTGGACCCTGGCCTGGGGCTTGCTGGAATCTTTCTCACACCCCCGTCCCAGGGGCACCCCAGGCCCGGGACAGGAAAGAGGCTGAGTGGACACAGTAGGATGGTGGGAGCGCTGATGCGGGCACTGGGCCCAGGGCTGCCAAGGGGCCAGGCTCAGCGGGCAGCAGGGCTGTGGGCACACGCTCGGCGCAGGCGTCAGCTCTCCCCACTCACCTTCCCACCTGCTCCAGCTGTCTGACACACAGGACCACACGCTGACCGCAGGGCCCCTCTCTCCGGCACACACACACGCGTGTACACGGTCACACCTGGCACCTGCTCCACCTGGAGCCCGCTTTCCTCCCACGAGCGTCTTCCGGGCAGCTCCGTCCCAGAGACCTGGTTGCCGCCACATCTGGTGAGGGGAGGCCCAAGTGTGGGTGCTGTTGCCCGGGGAGTGGGGCCAAGGTGGGCAGGGCACAAGAGACTGTTCTGCCCACCAAGGGACTGGGATGGAACCCCAGGAGCATGCTCCCTGTCCATCTGGGAACCCAGGTCTCCAGAGAGAGAGCCCACCCCGTCTTACTCCTCCCCTGCAGTCGCCAGGGCACGCCCTGCTGCCACCTAGTCCCCGCTGAGCATGTCTCTGAGCCCCCACTCCTCCCAGCTCCAATTCAGGTACCCCAAAACGTTACAGAAACGACACCATTGGCTTCCCCAGAGAATGCCCAGAACCCAGGGTGCCAACTCCAGGAATTGACCCCTCCTCCCTGGCACCTGTCTGGGAAGGCGCCTGCCTGTCAGATGAAGTGAGGCTGTGGCTTCCACGAGCCCCTGGCAGGCTCGGGGCGGACTCCATGTCTGGGTGCCCGCTCCTCCACTCCCCTCCTGCTCCCGCTTGGATCCTTGAATCCCCTTTCTGAGCCCACACCCCTCAGTGTGCTCTGCTGGTGGCAGAGCAGGGGTGCAGGCAGCTGTCCCGCTTTGGGCCCCGTCTCCCCACTTAGATCTCTCCGGAGTGCTGTAAGCTGTCCCCATGCCCACTCCCGGACCATGACGCAGCCCTGGCTCCCGAGGACCAGGACGACACCAAAAAAGCGTCCCTCCACACCGTCCATGGGTTCTGTCTGGCCACTGCAGATGCCAGAGTCACCCTCACAGCACACGGTGCCCATCCCCGGGCAGCAGGGCCAGTCTCCCCTCGGACCAGCAACCTGACCCTTAATGGGGTCCGGGGCCTTGTGTGTGGCGGGCAGTCTCACCCCTAGCCCCCGGTGTTGACAAGAAGGAGAGGACAGGAAGAAGTTCGGATGGAGAGAAGATTGCGGAGTGGAGCGGGGCCTGTGACGGGGCAGCCGGAAGAGGTCCAGGCAGAGGCCCCGGAGACGGCCACTCTGCTGGGCTCAAGCTGGGCAGGCGGCCTGAGCAGGTGTATCTGCCAGCCTCAGCACCTGGCAGCAAAGAGAAGGCTGCCCTGGCAGAGGCTGGCACAGCTGGGGGAGGCCGGAGTGCTGGGGTCAGCTCCCCAGTTCGGGTCCTGATTGCAGATGCTGGGCAGCTGGGTGACGGCCCGGGGACTCAGTTCTGCCACCCACATGGGCAAGCTGGATCTGGTTCTCGGCTCCCAACCCCGACCATTGCAGGTGTTTGGGAAGTAAACCACGTGGGGACTCTCTTGTGGTCTCTCCTCCACCCCTCAAATAAATACACTTCTAAGAAGTTTGCATCGCCCCCCTAGACGCACACAGCAGGCTGGGTTGCTGCCTCCATTCTCTGAATCCAGCAGGGGCCACGGTGAGCCCTGACATGAGTCCCAGTTGGGGGACCGGCTGGGCCCCCATGGCTGTGTCCTTTCCAGCACTGTGCCCAAAGCAAGCACTTCCTTCGGCAGTGGTCTCCACCGCTACCCGTCCACCCACCTCATCCCTGCAGGACCCCCACCCCATGGAGGTTCTGGCCCAGTCTCACTTGAGCGCCTGGTCCTGGCACCCCCTGGGCACAGTGCCCATCACACTTGCTGCCCTCGACTCCCCGCCAGGAGCCCCAAATCCCAGACCACGGGACACTCGCCTCCCCCAACAAAAGTGACAGGGACCCCTCCAGGCCACGTAAACACGACCACTTTATTGATGTGCACAAAAGGGTGCTGAGAGCTGCTCACTGCTGAGACCCAAGCACCCGGAGAGAAGTCTCCCAGGCAAAAAGCGCGGTGGGCGCCTCCTGCAGGCCAGGGAGGGGACAGGCACTCTGGGTGACAGGCACCTGGCTACCCCAGGGACCCTGGGGGCACCTGGGCCACCACCCCCTCACCCGCGGAGCCCAAGGGGGAGGCTGTACCAACTCAGGTTCCTCCGGAAGAACTTGCCCACGTGCATGTGGCCTGGACTGTGCGCAAGTGTCGCCCCCACCGCTGGCCCTGGGGCCATGTGGGTGAGGGTTCAGCCCCAAATACAGGATCCTTGAGACCCACACGGCTTCTGGCAGTGCGGACGAATGCTTGGGTGGGGCGCCACCCCGGAGAGCAGGGGCAAGGCAGAGCACGGCAGCAGCTCAGCCGCCTCACTGGGCTGGATCCCAGGGGCTGGATCCCAGGGGCCTGCGGCCGTGCACCTAGGAGCGAGGCGGCCTGCAGGAGCGGCAGCAGGCCTTGCTGTAGTACCAGTGGGTGCACAGGTTCACCTTGATGGCCAGGGCGCAGTTCGTGCCGGGCTGGTCCTGGCAGCTGTCGTCTGAGGAAGCAGCACAGTGCGTGAGAACACTGCTGGACAGGGCAGGGCCGCGCGTCCACCTCAGGGGCGTGAAAGACGGCAGGCGTCCAGTTTCCTGCAGTCTCACCCCAAGGCCCAGGGCCTGAACTGCCCACCTCACCTGTGCCTCCACTCACAGTCAGCTGGGTCCGTGCCCGGTGTCCTGGCTGAGAGGGCTGGAGTGCTGGTGGACTGTCCCACACCTGCACTGGCCGTCTGCGCTCTCGGCTCCCGGGGCCTCGAGCCACGGACGGTCAGGCAGCAGCACTGGCTGCCCCCCAGCCCGTCCTGCTCGCTCCCCCTCCAGGCCCTGGCTCCCACACCTCCCAGCAACGCCCCCACCTGGCCTCCTGCCTCTCTACCGCTGCTCACCTGGGGGCTCAGTGGGGCAGGGCTGCAGGTCACACGCCTGTCTGCCCACGGGCTTCACCAGCGGGTCACAGCCACGCACGATGTCGGTGCCCTGGTAGCACTTCACATCTCGCATTCTCATGCCCACCCCACAGGTCTTGGTGCACTGATGGGGGACAGGGAGGGGGCAGGGGAGCCTCAGCCTGCTGGCCAGGCCCCACCCCCCTGGCCCGGCAGGACTACATGCTGGAGCTGAGGAGGCAGGGCCCCAGCTGGAGCTGCCTCAGTTTCCCCAGCCGCACCGTGGTCCTGGGTCTTGGCGGCACTGCTGACAGGGAGCAGACCATGGTATCCGCTCACCTCAGACCAGGCACTCGTGTACCACTTGAAGCAAGGCCTCTCGAAGCACGTGGTTTCCTCGGCGGGCTTCTGGGCCAGGCCGCACTCGGGGCCACTGCGTGTCTGCGGCTTCCCGTTGGCCAACTCCATGCAGAGAACAAGACGCTTCTTGACTCCACGCCCACAGGTGGTGTTGCACTGGGGGCCGGGGATGGAGGGAACAGACCAGAGGCGAGGGCTGGGAGGATGCCAGGCCAACAGTGGGGTGCCCAGGATGGATGTCGTGTCCTGCTGCCGCTGGGCCCCAGGCGGGGACCTGAAGAGGCTGTCTGGCCACAAATCGGTTAGTGGCCAAAGGCCAAGGGTATGGCCGCCAGAATCGATTTAGCAGAAAACGATTTGTGCCGAGATGACCGGGTTAGCAGCGATCTGCCTGTGAGCAGATTGGAAGTGACTGGCCCAACGTGACAGTGGGTGACAAGCAGACAGCCATCATAGGCACAGAGCCTGCCCTGTGCCCCTGGCTCTGGGGCGTACTTCCAGTTCCTGGGCACGGCAGAGCCTGCGCCCAACAGGGGGCTGCAGGGAGCTCCCTGCGTGTCAGTCACAGCAATGAGATCTGTATCCATTGTGGCCATCAACTCCTCTTCCTGGCTGGCCAGCACTGCCCAGGCCCAGGACAGCCGGCTCCCCACCGGCTCCAAGACACTCACCCGCTCCCAGTCCTGGGCCAGCCAGTGCGCCGGGCAGTTCTTGTCCCCGCAGGGGTGGATGGCCAGCGGCTTGGTCTCCATCTGGCACTGGGACTCGGGCACCACGTGTCCATCGCTGGTCTTGCAGTACACGTGCCTGATAGTACGGCCCTGCCCACAGCTCCCACTGCACTGCAGGAGGGTGGCAGGTGCCCGGTGAGGAGGGGGGACACTCCACAGGGCCCATCCCCCAGGCAGCGTGGGAGGCAGTTGCTGTGGTAACCCCCTTTTAAAATAACAATCTCTGTGTTAGTTGCATAAATAATGCCTGCAGGATGGGGAATACAGAGAAAGGCATGCGGCTGACGTCTGACAGGACAAGGAGCACGGGGTGTGGGCAAGACGGGGCTGCTCTGAGCCCCAAGGCCATGGCTCAGGGTTAGGGTTTTGACTACCGGAGGTGCAGGGGGGTTAGGGCAGCCACTCCCACCAGCAAGCACAAGTGGGCGAGTGGAAGACGGGCAGGCAGACCAGTCGCATGCCCAGCACCGGAGCTCACCGGGCCCCAGTCGGACGCCGTCCACTGGCGGTCACAGGGCGGGCCGGTACAGTTCTTCTCGCCCACGGGCCGGGTGTTAGGGTCACACAGCTTCTCGTCCTCTGAGCAGCGGATGTGCCTGGTCACCACGCTGTGCTCCCCACACCTGGCCGTGCACTGGGAAGCCAGGGCGGGCGTGAGACGGGCCCGCCGCCCAGGCCCAAGGCCACTGCCCAGCCTCTGGCCGCGGCTCACCTCCGACCACTCGGACATCTCCCACTGCGGCCCGCAGGCTGGGTTGCGGCAGACCTTGCGTTCCTCGGGCCGCACGGCCTCGGCCGCCTCACACAGGTCACTGTACACGGAGCTGTCGAAGCCAGGCGACAGCATCTTCCAGCAGCGCACGATGCGGAACTGGTAGCCTTCGCCGCAGGTGCGGGAGCACTCGCTCCAGCTGCTGGTCTCCCACCTGCCTCGGGGCGGGGCGGAGGCAGGGCGGCCTTCAGCGACCCCACCTATGGCTGGGACCCCTGACACCCCACCCTGCACTGCCCCGAATCACTGAGGTGTCCTGGTGGGGGAGGGCTGCGCCATACACAGCTGGTCTAAGGCAAGGGGCCAGGAGGCCACCCTGGGGATGGCTGAACTTCCCTGCCCTTCCCCAGGAAGCAGGCAAGGCTGCCCGCAGCAGATGGAGAGACTGCAGGGCCACTATGGGCACGCTGCCCCAGCTCGTGCCCTGGCCGCCGCCCAGGGATCAATGATACTGCATTGCAGGACAGGAGGCCCAGGGCTGGACACCAGTGCCCACCCATGCGTGTCCAGTCAGTGGCCTCAGGACCCCTGGCTGCGCCCCGTGGGCCTCAGCAGCCGAGGTGACTGGACGGGGTGGTGTGCCTGCTGTGGGAAGCACCCGTCAGCTTCACCCCCCCCACCCCGCACTGCGCCTGCCCCTACCCAGGGCCCCCACTGTCCTGCAGGGGAGGGCGGGGGCGGGTATGTGGCTGTTGCCCCGGGCACTTGGGCGGGTACCTGGGCTGGCACTCCCTACCGGCACAGAACTCGTGCACGGGCTCTGGCCGGGTCAGGGCGTCGCAGTGGCTGTCGTCCACCTCGACACCGTCATAGCGCACACACATGGCGTAGGTCGACATGACTCCTGGGGCCAGGACAAGGGAAGGGTGTGTGAGCCACGGGGTCAGCAGAGGGCCTTGGAGACCTCCACGGGGGGCTGTGGCCGTGGCCAAGTCCACGGACACCTCGGAGCCAGGGACGTTGAAGGATGGTGACCCCCCACCAGCTCATGGTATCACAGGGCAGGGGGAGGGGGTGCTCGGGCAGGAGTGCTGGATGGGTCCAAGCCCCCTCCCTGCCCATGACCCCAAGTCTGCCCTTCTCTCTGCACCCCTCCCCACCCTGTTATCAGCCCTGGGCTTTAAGGAGACTTGAGGTGTCAGACGCCCCGTCCCTCCTTAATATGCACTCACAGCCACCCCTCTGGGGGCAGCAAGTGCCCATCCACCCATACCAGGCCTGTCCACCCTCCCAGGAGGCCCGGGGCCTTCAGACCTGGCTGCTCTCTGGCCTCCCCCGTACCCTCCCACTGCCCACTCCCTATTCGCTGGGCTCACACACAGCATGCAGCAGGGACAACACAGCAACCCCCTGGCACAAGCTGGCACTTTGCCATGCCTCTCTGGGCAGTGACAGCCCTGCTAAGGAGCTGGGGGGATCTGGGAGCGTCACAGGCCAATAACAAGGGCCGGGGGGGCGGGGTCTGTGAGGAAGATGCTAGCGCTGCCAGGTGGCAGGTGTGACGACGCCCTGGGCCACACTGACAGCTCTGCTGTCAGGAAGCCCACCTCCCTGAGCACAGAGGGCCTTGCACCCCTCCCCAACGTCCCGGCCAGGTGGGCCTGGGTCACTGCAGGTCTTAGACCCCTGCGGGGTGCAGTCCTGCCCTGGGGTCCTCCTGGTGGCAGCACCCACACAAGCTCCGCCTGCCTTGACTTGTGCACCCCCAAACAGGTCCCTCCCAGACAGGCTGTGGTGCCTCGCTGCACTGCCCCCAGCCACGCAGTGGGGGTGGGATGGGATGAACCCCAACAAGTGAAAGGCAGAGTCTGGCCAGCTCTCTCCATCACTGCCATGGGGTCCCGGGGCAGACCACAACCTGGAAACCCGGCCCATCCAGCCTTAGTCAGGGGTGCTCATGTGAAAACGTGCGGCTCCCTGGGGAGTGGATTCCCGTCTCCCTCACTCTCCACCCCCCACGCGGGCCCAGCCCGACACTGGAAATCCGCTCGGACGCTAGGCACACTGCCCAAAGCCCACTGCCGCCAGGTCTGTCCCTGGAGCCTTCTGTCCTGGTCACACTCGGGCTACGCAGTGCCCAGTCCGCCAGAGGCCACCACCCCCAGGGCTGCTCATCAGGCCCCTGCGGACGCTCGCCTTGGGGGCTTCTGGGTGACCTCACTGCTCCTCTGGCCACCAGCCATGTGTCCTGGAGCTGAGGGACAGAGGGTCCCAGAGAAGCCGCCCTCCACCCCACCATGCCAGGCTTCCAGTCTGGCAGAGCCCCACCCCACCATGCCCAGGACCAACACCTGTGGTGCAGGTGGCACTGCAGGGCTCATGGGAGGAGAGCTTCCACCGGTACATGTCGGCCGGACTCACACCTTGCTTGCGCGCCTTGGGCCGGGTCCTGGAAGGAAGTCAACCAGAGTGGGCATGAAAGGCCTCGTGTCTGCTGCAGGGTGGCGGGGAGAGGTTCCTGGGGGGGCTCTTCCTCCAATCCTTACACCTGCCCTCAGCCCCAGGCAGAACTCCGCCCTTGGGAGTCCAGAGTGCCCCTCACCGAGGTGGTTACACAGCCTGGGAGCTGCTGGTTACATGCCCCTATGGGGGTGCCCAAGACTTTGGGGCCCAGAGCATCGCGACTACTACATGCAGGTGTCTCACCCTCTCCCCAGATTCCCTTCCTTGCCAAAATGGTACTTGTGAACTGAGAATGTTCCAGAATCTTCTCCTGTCCCCACCTCCCTCAGCAGGGGCACTGGTTGGATGGGGGACCCTGGCCACTCGGAGGCAGGTGGCAGCTGGGTTCCACAGGACTGCAGGGGGTGCAGCACAGCAGCCGGGCTGGGTCCACCACCCCCTGGGCCTCCTGGCCAGTGCACCAGTGGTTAAGAGCGGCCGGATCTTTGAACCAGTCTGCACGCCTGGGCCAAACCTCAGGGGCCAAGTGTAGGCTTGTTCTGCACTTGGTGCAGGGAGCTTGGGAGCCGTGGCAGAAGCATCCCCTCGGAGACACTGCCGTCCAGCTGGCCTGCAGCCCCTGAGGGCCCGCGGAGCCAGTCCAGCCAACAGCCGGTCATCCGGGCCTCGCCAGCAGAACGTGGTCCGGTAGTGACCCTTTGACACGGCTCACATCTGGGCCCCCGGCCCGCCGGGTGCTTTCCTGATTGTGGACAGAGGGTGTTCTGACAGCTGTCCCCGCTCCGCTCTGGGGACCTGGGGTTGCAGCACGGGGCCAGGAGGTCGGCGCAGAGAGGGGAGTCCAGGACCTCCAACACCACTTGTGGGACCCTCGCCTCTGGTTTCCCAGGAAGAAGCTCCCACCCTCTCTTTTTAAAGAAAAGGACAAGAAACTGGCAGGGGCAGGGAGGAACAGCATTGTGGCACAGCGGGTTAAGCCCTGACCTGTAGCCCAACATCGCACATGGTGCCAGCTTGATCCCAGCAGCTCTACTTCTCATCCAGCTCCTTGCTAATGCATCTAGAAGGGCAGTGAGGTGGCCCAAATGCTTGGGGTCCCTGCAACCACGTGGGAGACCCAGAAGAGGCCCCTGGCTCCCGGCTGTGGACTAGCACAGCTCCAGCTATTGTCACCATTTGGGGAACAAACCAACAGATGGAAGATCTTTCTCTCTGTCACTCTGTCTTTCAAGTAAGAAAATCAGAATGAGGGTGGGGAGGAGCCTGAAGCCAGCACCCCAGGGCTCAGCTGAGACCATGCCCCCCGCCTTCAGCAGCTTTAAGTGCCCCGAACGCAGAGATGGCCAGGCCCCTCCCTGCCCGCCAGCCCTGAGTGGGCAGCATGGGTGCTTGGTACTGGAGGCCCCAGCTCACCCCTGCAGCGGCTGCCTGTTCATCTCATTGGCCGCCCTAGCAGGGGTCTCCCAGGGCGGCAGCACCCAGGCTCCAGGACATGGGTGCCCCTCCATGTCCTGTCCGCACCTCAGCTTCTGGGACAGTGACTCTGGCCTGGGAGAGGACTCTCAGTCACCCAGCAGCCTGGAGGTGGCCTTGCACAAACTAGAACAGAGAGGGCCGCTCCCCTCCCTTCCACCCTGCTGGTGGGTAGGAATGAGCCCCTCCCTGACAGCCAGGGCGGATGGGATCGGGCTTCCCGCTCTGGGTCGCCTTTGATGCCGCCAGCCCACCAGCGGACACGGCTTTCTGCCTGTGGCCAACTCACCCAGGCACAGCTATCTTGGCCCCGTGGCATCCCCATGACCCATCTGTGAACCCACAGCGGAAACAGCCAAGCACTAGCAGGTATCATGACTCGGGCCAGGGGGACCACAGACCCCAATGCGGCCACCAGGGACCCCAGAACTGCCATTGGCCTGGGAATCACTTCACACCTGAGCCTGCAGGGTCCCGGCCCAGCCCTCCTGGGTGGACACGGCTCGGGTCTCACTGTATGCCCTGCCCTCCTGCCACAGCACGTGTGTGCGTGCTGGGCTCTGAGTCACCTGGGTAGATGCAGCTGCATCACCACGTGGTCTTGGGCCCAAGGGGGACCAGGCAAGGACGGGGGAGGCAGCTGAGATAGCCCTGGCCAGAGGTCGCAGGCCAGCACTGTCTGACTCGGCCCCTCCGTCTCGGCCCTCCAGCCCCCAGGGCCCCTCTCGCTCAGAGCCCAGGCAAAGCCAAGCTGGCTGCACCTGCCTGGATCACTCTGGCCACCTCAAGGCTCGTCAGTAGGGATGGCCCTGCAGCGTGACTGGGCGGGCCTGCAGCCACTGTGCTTCCAGACGGTCCCTAGTCCAAGCAGGCTCCTGCCCACAGGCCCCTCTGCCACGGTGTGCCCAGACTCAGGCCCGGAGACCCATCCCCCTCTCCCTCTACACCTGGCTCACAGCCGTGCACCACCCCCTTCCAGCCCCTGCCCTGGGAGGACACGTGGACGGCCAGGTACATGGCAGGACGTGGTCACGCTCACTGCCCTCCAGGTCCTGGCTGGTGCCTCCTACCTGGCCTTGTGTGTCCTATTGCCGCCGGAGGTGGGGAGGCTGGCGCTGGTGTTGGGGAAGGGGGCCTCCGAGGAGGAGTTGGCGAGCGGCTCGCTGCTGAGCTCCAGGTAGGCGCCACCTTCCTCCTGCTCCTGGTGAGCGTGCAGGATCTCGGCTGGGGCGTTCCCGGGGCCACCGGGGGCCAAGATGCTGTTCATCGTCTCGTTGAGCGCAAACTCCTTGGAGTCCGAGCCGGTGCCCAGCAGCTGCCCAGAGATGGCGTTGGCAGACAGGAACCCCCGGGACGTGAAATGGGTGTTCATCTCTTGGTCACCCTCATCCCCCGCCAGCGACGACCCAGTGGCGTTGTGGTCTGCAGAGTGAGACGGGGCGGCGACATCAAGGGCCTGGGAGAGAGACCCAGGCGAGGAGGCGCTGAGCTCCCAGAAGGCCGTGTGGGCCGCCATGGTCCCCTGTAGCGACCCACACGGTCCCCGTGGGGGCTGGGTGGAAGAGGCCCTTGGGGATGGAACTGGCTCATCAGTGCGTTGTCCCGAGAGGACGCAGGGACAGAAGGGAGGCCGTGGGAACGCTGGGCCTGGGCTGCCCAGCGCTGTGAGCGAGGGCTCAAGCCGTACAGGGAGCGACAGCTGGCTCCCTGCACTGCCTGGGTCCCTGTCGGCAGGTGCAGCCGGACAGACGGTATCGTGCTATGGGGGCAGGGGCCACATTCAGCATGTACACAGGAAAGCTACACATGGACTCAGGCTCCACTTTGCTCCGAGCTTTTCCAGACACCCACGCGGTGCACCGCCTGCTCCTTTGAGGCTGACACTGCCAGGGTTCGAGATGAGCTGGGTCACGGCACATGCGGGAGGCAGTGAGCAACAAGCACACCAAGTGCTGGTGGCCGTGGCGTCCCTCTCCCGTGTGAGTGCTGGGTGTGCTGTGTCCCTCTCACAGCCTGAGAGCTAGCCTGGCACCGAGTCCCACCCCCAAGGTCTGCAGGTGCCTGGCCCCTCTCCCCCCGCCCTGCTGTTCCTGTACCTCGGAAGCCCTGGCCCCTGGGGGCGCCCTGGCAGGCCCCACCGCTGCCGCTGGCCGGTTCGCACACCTCGTTGGTCTGCGGGCCCCTGCCCAGGCCCAGCTCCATCTCCGGCCCCGGGGGCCCAAACAGTTGGTTGTCCAGGCCGAGCCGCTCGGAGGAGGCCGGGCCGTAGAGGGAGCCGTTGTGCTGCAGGAAGCGCAGCAGGCCTGCGCGGCCCAGCTCCTGGCTCTCTGCGCTGTCGGAGGCGGGCTCAGCAAAGCCGTAGTACAGAGGCTGCAGGCGGTGTGTGTGCGGCGGCTGCAGGAGCGTGTACTCAAAGGTGATGGACGGGCTCTTGCCATTCTGGTTCCACACCTGGGGAGGGACCACAGCTGCCCAGCCGGCCTTGCTGTGCAGTGCTGGCCCCCACATGCCCCTCCCAGAGCCAGGCACCTGCCGCCCCACACCAGGGACAGCCTGGTCCCCAGGCTAGGACACTGGCACACAAGAGTATTGGGGGGCGGGAGCGGCCCACCCTGCACATGGGTGCTAAGAGGGGTGGCTACCGCCCACAGGCCTCCTGGGCAGGCACACGGGGGCAGGAAGACCAAGGCCTGCCTTGCTTTGGAATAACCCTGAAGGGTAAGCCAGCTCAGTGCTCCCAGGGGTGGCCTGGCTGTCCCAGCCTCACAGGGCATTGCAGCTTCCACAGAGGCCCTGGAGGGAATGGGGACAGGGTGCTAGTGGCAGAAAACGTCCCTCCTGAGCAGCTCCTGGGCAGCTCCGAGGCCCCATGAGGCTGTTCCAGACACAGAAAGGAGCAGGGACTAGTGCGCGTCCATCTGTCCGCCCACCCAGCTAAGCCAAGCCGGCACAGGGCCCGGTGCTCCCTGCCGAGGCTGCGGCAGCCTCCGCCACACTCAGCCCTGCTGCCCAAGATCCCCCTCCCATGGGGTCTCTCCTTCTGTCCTGGGCTGTTTATTCCAAACGTGAGGCCCCTGTCCTGCCTGCAGGACTCCCATTAGCACCAGCATCCCAGGAGCTCTCATCTGCCCAGACACTGGCCATGGGGCCCAGTGCTGGGCACCACCAGCCTGGGCAAGCTGAGGGGAATGGAGCCATAGCACAGCTTAGAGCTGAGGTCCTGTGCAAGGGTGGGGCCTGGGGACATGCCCCCAAGACCATGCTCCCATCCTCACGGCCACAGCCAGGGGGCCGCCAGGACTAGCAGGAGCCACTGGGCAGGCCAGAGCTGGCAGCACGCCCCAGAGCTCAGCTGCAGCCAGCTCCGATGGAGTCGGGGGCAGTGGGGCAAATCCCAGTCACACTCACCCCTGAGCCACATTCCCCCACCTCCAGAAAATTCTGGGAGCTTCCAGAAAGCTGAACATCTTAGGAAGCAGAGCCAGGAGCCACCAGCCTGCCGACCCAGCAGGGGCAGCCCCATGGGGAGGCTCCCTCTGGCCAGCAGCATGCTCCACGGTAGGAGGGGGTCCCCCAGGAGAGGGGACCCTGCTGCCTGCCCTGAGCGCCCTGGGGGATCCCCAAGAGGAAGGGAGCGCTCAGATTGATGGGGTACAGCTGGGGTGGTGGGAGGACGCAGCAAATGTGCCAACCAGACAGGGCGGGGGGGACGTAGGGAGCTGGTAGGAGACAACGCGGATGAGAGGCAAGCAGCACATGAACAAGGCCCGCGAGGGGCAGAGTGTAGCAAGCCCGCAGCCACGCACCATGACGTTCAGGCCCTGGTTGGTGGGCCCCTGCGCCACGATGTACTCAATGCCCGTCTCGTAGACGTCCGTGGGCCGCCGGTACTTGACCACGGTGCCGGCGATGTTGAAGTTCTTGGGGCTGTCCACCTTGTAGTTGCCGTTGAAAAAGTAGAAGCCGGTCTCATCCGCCAGGGCTGCAAGGACACAGCCACTGGGTCACAGCGCCCTGGGCTCCGCCCCGACACCCCCTCTGTCCCATCCAGGACCAGGCTAAACACACAGCCACAGCCTTGTCCGCCGCTTGGCGGCAGCTGGCTGCAAAGCCTTCCTCTGGCTCTGAAGGCAGCTCTCCATGTGTGCCATCTCAGCCAGCAGGCAGGCGGAAGGGACGGCATCTAGCTGCTGCAGCCAGCTCCCCTCTCCCAGCACCTGCACCGACAGGTTCAGCCACCCTGGCCACCTCGAGCCAGCCAGCTCCGACCTCTCTGTGCGGACAATGACACAAGTGTGTGACCTTCCACCCCACCCACCCCGCCTGTGCCTGCCGAGGGCCCAGACAAGGGACTGACCTGCCCACACACATCCCAGTCAGTTTCCCCCTGAGGCTGCCATCGGGGGACACTCCTAGGGCCCAGCTCTGATGACCCCCAGCTCAGGGCCTCCAGCTGCCCTGTCCTCCCAGGAAAGCAGGGATGGGGAGAAGAGCCCCAGAGCCTACAGGCTGGGATGGGAGGGAGGGAGGCAGCCCCAGCTCCCAGGGACACTGCGCTTCTCTAAGAGTGTCCTCAAGTTCGGTTCCAGGAACCGGCCCGCGGACAAGAGGGCTCCAGCTTCCCAAGTCACTGACGCAATACACATGGAGGCGTGGCAGTGAGCCATCTGTTATCAGACAGGCGCAGGACACGGCTGCCCGGAGCCCGCCCCCTCGCCGGAGCCTCAGACAGCAGCCGAGGCCGGGGGCGGGGAGCAGGGTGCAAGCTCGGTCCCAGGCCAGCAGCCAGAGCCTGCTTCCCGACGTCCAGGGCGCCCCGGCTGCCCCAGCCGCCCTAGGTGCTTCCCATGTCAGCTCCGAGAACTCACCGTCTCCCAGCCTCACCACTGCCCTGGCCACTGAGCAGCGACAGAGCGGCAGGCCTGGTGGGGCCTGGCTCCCCACAGCCTGCACAGGTTGGACGCCTGCCCGCAGGAGGAGTCCCAGGCCAGCTCCAACCAGAGGGGCTGAATTCAACAGAGCACCCCCATGCCTAGGGCTCCCTGTGTGGGGGAGGCCCAGGGGTGGCTCCTGCTCAGGGCTCACACACATTCACCTCCTGGGACTGCCATGCCCACTAGGAAGTCACTCCAGAGCCCACGAGGCAGGGAGTCCCCATCCAGGGTTCAGTTTCCCATCAGGCACCAGGCAGGGCCACAGCCTTGGCACGAGGGTTGACCTCTGATCCTGCCACTCGCAACCTTGCACCAATCCCTTGCACACCCGTGGGACCACCCCTCTGCTGTTTCTGGCTCCTGCCAGCCCCAGCCTGGCCCACTGGGACACCCCCGTATGCGCACACACACACGGCTGGTTTCTGGGGCCCACAGCATCCAGCCTGGAACTTGTGGTTCCCTGAAGGGATGAGGCAGGGTCACCCGCCCAGCATGCCACCCAGGCTCCGAGGACGCACCCAGCACATCGGCCGACTTCCTCCTCTCCACGATCTGGATGTCGCGGGCACCAGCTGGGATGTGGGTCACCAGGGAGTAGCCTGGAGGAAAAACACAGGACAGACGTGACCTTCCTGAGAGGCCGACCTGGCGTGAAGGGGCGGGGTCGCCACCTCTGGAGCACCACATGGGGGAGGGGCAGTGCCCCCCACACCTGTGCCAACCACAGCCACGAACCCTGCCCCTACCTGTCGGTGCCTGCCCAGCCCCTGCCAAACGACACTGTGGACCACCAGGGACCAAGTATGTAACCTCCCATACATCTTCCTGGTACAGTAGTGAGGCCCGCCTCGTGGCCGTGTAGCCAGGCGCGAGCGCGTTCACAGGTGCCTGGTCCAGCAGGGACCACTGCACGGGGCGAATGGGCAATGGCATCTTGCCTGCCTCACACCCAACGCAGAGCTTTGGGCAGGAGGCACAGAGCTGGCCGGTGCCCCTGGGCACCCGGCATGCCTACAGCAGGTGCTCCGAAGGCCCATGCCACAGGCTCCGCCCCCCGTGCACCGCCTCAGTCCGCAGGCAGGAAGCCTGCTGCCAGGCTGTGGCAGGAAGGGACAGCGAGCCAGCCTGCTCCCCTAGCGCATGTTCTGCCCACTGTGTCTGGACCAAGCGCTGACGGTGTGCCCACTCTCTGTCCTCGCCCTCTGCAGTGGCCTGTCACTGAAACCTCCTGAGGCCAACATGCTTGTGCCTGCTGTGGGGGATGGGACCCCCAGGCTCCCAGACAGCCAGGCCCCCAGCAGTCCTTAGCAGGGCCTGTCCAGGCTGGCCCGGTGTCCCCAAGGGTACTGTGGGCAAAGAGTTCTCATGCTGGGCCTCACATTTGCCACCTGCTAAGGAGATTTCTGGCTTCCTGGTTTTCCCCCGCTGGGTTGTGATAACCCAGGCTGATTCTACTCAAAATGTACACTCAGTTCAACGGGCAAGTGACCCCTTCCACGAGGGCTACACCCCCCATGGGAGGCTGGGTCCAAGCTGATGCAGCAGCAAGGAGGTCTCAGTTCAGCGGGCAAGTGACCCCTTCCACGAGGGCTGCACTCCGCCCCCGGGGAGGCTGGGCCCAAGCTGACGCAGCAGCAAGGAGGTCAAGGAGAAAGGGGTAGGGACCGACTGGCGCAGCAAGCCGCAGTATACCCTGTGAGTGTGGCATTCACACAGCCCCACAGGCTGCGTCTAGGGCCCAAGCAACCCCGGCTGGGCACAGTGCAACACCGTCACTCAGGCCCCCACAGCCCTGGTCATGGTGCCCCAGTTATTGCCCGGGTTCCGCTCCCAACTGCACGCCCTGGGAGCAGCGGGCACACGGTTCAAGGGCTTGGGTACCTGCAACCCACAGGAGGCCTGGCCAGGGTTCCAGGCTTCAGCTCCAACCCAGCCAGGCCTTGCAGCCACGAGGGAAACAAACCAGCAGACGGGAGCCGTCTCTTTGTTTCTCTCTCTCTGCCCTTCAAATAAGCCAACAATCCCATGGTATCCAATGCTAGCTGAAGGGGCTCAGACCTGGCCAGCCCACCCCCACCTGCCGGAGGACGGGTGACCCCAGAGGTGAGGAACATTCTCCGAGGACCGCCAGAGCCGGATTACCCAGACTGGCAGCAGACACCCTTACCCAGGTGGGCGTTGCCCTTGCGGTAGTTGCCAGTCACGTGGGTGCAGCTGCTCCCGTCACCCTGGCAGACGCCACATCTGTCCAGCGTGTGCGTGGAGAAGAGCACTCCGTCACAGCCAATGCGCTGCAAGAAGCAGAGATGCCGCTGGGAAGGCGCGGGGCCGCGGCCGCCCGCATGCGTGGTGCCTGTGTGTGCTACAGCAGTCAAGGCAACCGCACTTCGCTGCACTGTTTCACAACCTCACATTTTCCAGACACGCAAACCCCCCGCACGTCGGCGAGCTTGCAGGAGGTGCCGTCGCGGGCGGGCACCATGAGCTGCCGCTGGCCGTCCACGGTGGTGCAGTGCAGGTCACAGGGCTTGCTGGAGATGTGCACGTAGTCATCTGGGCGGGGTGGGGGCAAGACAGTGGTCTCAGCAGGTGGCAGGCGCCCACGGCTGCCCCCTGCCCTGGGCACATGCAGGGAGACTGAGGCTGGACAGTCCAGGGGCTCCAGACCTGACGAAGGGCAAGGCCCCCGAGCTCCCCAACCTCCACCCTCACCCCGAGAACTCGCAATGCTATTGCCTGAACCACTTGTATCCTTCACGACAAAAGGGCTACCGTCCACTCTGGCCCCTACTCCAGGGCCATGCCTGGTCCCCGCTGGGATCATCCCACTCCGTTCCTGTGCACCCTGGGACACTCCCATGCCCCTGGGCAGGAAGCTGTTCCCGGGGGTGGGAGGGAGTCACGGCTTCCACAGGAGGGTACAGACTCACCAGGTCCTGGCCCTGCAGCTGACCCCTCTGAGCCCCCACAAGACGCTTGGGCTGGAGCTCAGTGACCCCCCACCCCTGCCAGCCCTCTCCTGGGCCGGGTCCTGAGTGCTGGAAGAGGGGCTGCGGGTACCGGGGTACAGCGGCTTCCACTGGTATGTCCGCCCGTTGTACACATGCGAGTTGAAGGAGACACACTGCTCCTCGCGGAAGCTCCTGCCGTCCGGCGGACACTCCTGGGCACGAGGACACGGGAGGCCACTGCAGCAGGCCAAGCAGGAAGGGGCTGCTGCCCAGGGTTCATGGGGGTGGTGGAGAGGAGGCCTCCCGCGGCCTCACTCGGGCTCAACATCCAGCTGTCCAAGCCCAAGCCAGCCAGCTCCCCAGCCCTATGGCAGAGCGGGTCCTCGGGGAACTCCGCAGCGGCACCTGCTAGCCCCCCACCGCTCATGGTAGACCCTGGCAGGTGTGTAGGAGGCCCTGCCCAACCACTCCAGGACGCAAGCCCCGGCCCACCATCCCAGGAAAGCAGCTGGCCTCCTCCAGCCTGTTGCTCGGCTCAGCCCCATGTGCCCAGGGTCCCTGGTTCCGGTTCAGCTTGGCCCTCTCTTAGCTCTCTCCTACACAGTTCATGAGGAAAGGGAGGCCCAGAACAGGAGGGATCTGGAGGACCCCTGGGAGACAGCTAGCAACCGTGCAGTCTCCAGACGAGTTGGGGGGGGCTCAGGGACACCCCAACTCTGAGTCACACAGCAGCAGCGTGGGGAGTGGCACTGCAGTGTGTGCCTGTGGGGGGCTCAACTGGAGCCAGGCTCCAGCGTTCGGAGCAGACCAGGACGAAGCCCCTGACCCTGAGACCTGCCTCAGCTCGGCCGGCCGTGACCTACAGCCGGGGCCTTACCTGCACATGGCAGAGCTGGTATCGCCTGGGGGTGCCCGTGCAGGTTCTGTTCCCAGCACCCGAAATGGACTTGCGCCTGAGGGGGACACAGATGCTGGGCACAAGCCAGGCAGCTCCCCCTGGAGAGGACTCAAAACCCCCAGCTGGCCACAGGTACAGCTGGGTCACACGGCGGGCATCTGGGAAGCCCACACTCACACAACGCAGGCCAAGGAGGGGCCTCGCCCCACAGTGACAGAACATGACATGCAGGTGACCACCCTAGGACCCACTGCCTCCCGGCACCCCCAGCCATCCGTGCTCGGGGTGAGGTGCTGAGCCCGTACCTCTGCTGCAGGCAGTGCCTCTCCTGGGACATCACCCCGCCCCCGCAGCTGCGGGAACATGCTGTCCACTTGGTCCACTCCCCCCACCAGGACGCCGTGGCATCAGTGCCTCCCTCCAGACTGTTGGACGATGGGCTGTTGTGCTGGGCGGGAGACCAGAGAGAGTTAACAGGGATGGCTGGCAGCACTGCTCTGCCTCACCCACAGAGCCTACTGCCGACCCCCAGCCCTGGTCCAGCCTGCCCCAGCCAGCCCTGTCCTGCACCAGCTGGGCTCCCCACAGGTCCAGCACTCCCCATAAAGCACACCTGCCCAGCCCTCCTTCCTCCTTTCCCTCTCCAGCCCAACATCAGGAGCCAGGAACGCGGGCGCCCCTGGAGGCCAGCCCCGCTCATCTGGGAAGCTCCCAGGGTCCCTGGGCCGCACCCCTCCAGGGTCAGCCGTGGGGCGCACCCCTTCAGGGTCAGCCGTGGGGGAGGGACCACAGCGCCTCATCTGCCGACACCGCAGCCTCACTCACCGTGGCCTCAGCGGATGCTGTTCCCCCAGCCACAACAGCCACAGCCAGCAGGGACCAGGCCCAGCGTGGGTACTGCCACCCATCCATCCTGGGGAGCGAAGGCCACGCCACCAGCCGCTCCTCCGCGGCCCCAGGCACCCAGGGGCAGCGTGGGCACCAGGTCCGTGCCCCACGTTCCTAAGGCATGCAGAGGAAGATGCCATGCACTGTCACCCAGTCTCCAGCCTCCCTGGGGCAGCGGACACTGGGGCCCAGCCTGGGAGAGCTCGTGGGAAGCACACAGGCTAGCCGCTGGACGCCTGGGCTGCGTCTCCCTCCGGCCGCAGCTCTGCACTGCTGAGGGTCCCCACCGGGGAGGGACTGCCAGGCCCTCTCCTCCCAGCGACATGCCTCAGGTGAGCCCCCAGGGAGCACAGCACCCAGCCAGCTGGTACCAGGGTAGGCAGCACCCTGGCATAGGTGCTCCCACCCTCCTGGGAGAAGGTGGAGTGGGGGAGGGTGGGTCCGGCTCATGCCACCCAGCCAGAGCCACCCGGCTGACCTTCCCGCGCACAAGGCAGCACCCTGGCCCAGCACCCGCCGAGGAACAGACTGGAGCAGCAGGCAGGAGGCCTCCGGCACAGGCCCCGCCTTCCAGGGAGCCTTCTGTAGGGTCTGTCGTCCTGGGCGTTCCTTGCCAGCAAGTTGCAGCAAAGTGGGAAGACAGCAGCAGCAGCCAGAGTTCAGAGTGGGAGGCCAACCTGCCCAAAGTCACACAGCATAGCACCAAGGAGCCCGCTTCGTTCCTCGTCCAGCTGACTGCAGGACCCCCGGCCCTGGCCCTCTTCCAGCCCCAGCAGCCTCTGCCACCTCCCACTTCCCTACGGGTCAAGCACCTGTGAATGAGCCAGGCCACCCGCAACACACCACACACACACACACCCCGGAGGGGGCCCTGTGCTCTGTGGCCGTGGTGTAAGGTGTAGGAATCCTCACCGCTGGCCTCCCCTCCCCCGCAGCTCCCTCTCCCACCCAGCGGTCCCAGGGGTGCCCCAGCCCCTGCCTGCGGGCTGGAGACAGGTGCCCAGGGCCCCACACTCGGTTTTCATTAAGGATCCCAGACACTGCTGGCCGCCGGCCAGGCCTGGCTCACGCGGGATCCATCCCTCCCTGGGGTCCAAAAACAGCCACCGGCCAGCGGGGCGAGGCTTGCAGGGGAGAGCGTCAGGGGCCCAGGCTGGAGCGAGGGGCCACCCCGAGCCCCCAGCCCCCTCCCCCACGAGCCGCCTCCCATTACATAAGCGCCTCCCGGGCTGCCGGGGGTGACCTGCCCCGGCCGCACGCGGCCAGCCCCGGGGACGGCGATGAGCTGGCCTACCTGACCTGGCTGGGCAGGTCGTCTTCCCCCGGCCAGGGCCCAGGGCGCCAGGTGCGCTGCGGGGGCGGCGCCGCGAGCAGCCGCCGCTCCGCCTTCGCCCGGCCCCCTCCCGGCCGGGCCGCCTCCCCTGGCCCGCTTCAAAGAGCCCGGGCGAGCGGATCCCGGGAGGGGCTGCAGCCCAGTGGCGGCTGGGCGGCCGGCGGCGGCCTTTATAGCTGTCAGGCAGACGGGGAGGATCTCACACTTCCCCAGCAGGCCGCTCCCCCGCCCGCCGCCGCCGGCCGGCCTGGCGCACACTTTAACCCGCTCTGCGCCTCTGGAGCGCGGCCAGGCCGGCCCAGCTGCCTGCTGGCTGCCGCTGGCGGCGGCCCGGGCCCGGGGCTGGGGAGCGTGCTGGGTGTCCAGACGCGGCGGCCTCCAGCCTGGGGTCAGCAGCGAGGCGGACAGAAGCTCGCCCCCGCCCCGCCCGGCCAGCTTCTGCCCCCAGCCCGGGGCCCCCCGACTGCAGAACGGGTGTCCCGAGCAGTAGAAGGCCTAGCAGGTGGAGCAGGGGGCTTGCAGGGGGCCCAGCCAGGGCACCCAGGGAGGCCCCCCAGAGAGGGCAGACGTGCCCGGGGCCTTCAGACCAGACGGCCGGGATGGCCAGGGCCCGTGGGGAAGATGTTCAACACCAGCTTGGCAGAGCGCAGGGGCCCAACTGGGCCTGGGCCAGCCGGGCAGCCCCGGGCAGGGCCGGGCCCAGGGCTCAGGCCGCCCGCCATTCCTGCTGAGTCAGACTGGAGGGGCCGGGCCGGGCCAGCGCACTCGGCTGGAGACCCTTGGGGACAGGCGGACAGGCGGCCTGCATGGCAGGCTCCTCCAGAGGCAGGCGGTGGAGAGGCAGCTCAGCCAGCCCACCGCTCAGCACCTCTGCAGGGCACTGCGGACAACAGGGCCAGAGCTGTGTGGGCATGGCCAGGAGCTGGGGAAGTCCTGCCCTGTGACTGACCACTGGCCAGAAAAGGTCAGGAGGGAACAGCCAGCAGTGACGGGCAGGAGCTGGGAGGGCAATGTCCATGTCAGAGCCCTCCGGGCCCTGGCCGGCAGTGGGGACACCCGTTCCTTGCTGCCCTGCCGATGCTGGGGGGCCAGGTCTCACCCGTCCCACTTTGCGGTGGGGTCCTAGGGCAAGAGGCAGAGTTTACCCTAACCCGGCCGCACACTGCCCCCTGGAGTCTGCACGCGGAGGTGCAAGCATGGGGAGCCTTCTGCCCACCACGGAGGGGCCCCACATGCGTGGTCCCTCTCCTGGACGCATGGGCAGCCCCCTGGGTCCGCGTCTTCCTCCCCTTCTGCCAAGCCCCTCCTGGGGATGCTGGCTCCCACATACAGCCAGTGCCAGAGTGACTAAAGGTTTCCCCTGAGAAAGGCCCAGGGTCTAATGCTACAGGTTGGCCACCTGGGACACGTCCCCTCTGGCTGTGTGACCTCCCGCAGGTGTGTGGCCCTCCAAGGAGCTCCCACCCTCCCAAATGTAAGACCCACCCTCCCAGGGCCCTGGGACACATGGTCAGTCAGGTATACACATGCAGGCACACTGAGTTGGGGGTTCCTGGTGCTTAGCAGTGTGGGCATGCGCCCTGCCAGGTGAGCAGAGGGGAGACTGGTGCCAGGGGCTCCATGTCCTGCAGGGGTGAGGCGTCTCTGTCCGCTGTCCCCTGGCTGGGTGACAGGGAGAGTGCCCCGCCGGGAAGGAGGTCCTGTCAGCCATCCCTAAGGGCAGGGGCCTCGGGAGACCTCGGTGAGCTGACCTGGGGCGGCTGGCCCGACGTGCCCCCGGGTTCTCACTTCCCTTCCCCTCCCGTCTCAGTCGGCCATGTCAGAACCAGAGGAACTGTGGGGCCAACGGGGCCAGGTCCCCTTGCTCTAGCGTCTGGAGGGGCACTTGTTGCTGGCACCCAGTAGGGGAAAGCAGCCAGGGTGGCTGGCCCCACAGGATGGCACTGGAAATTCTCCCATCACTCAGCAAAGCTGCAAAAGGCAGCGAGGAGGTCTCCTGGCCATGCGCTCCCCCTCCAGGGCCACTGGTTCTATCCCCACACCCCCGGGGAGCTGGGGGCTCTGAGTCAGCCGAAGACCCAGGTGTGACCAGAGTGGCCCCGGCCAGCAGCACCCTGCAGCACGGCCACTGGAAAGCAGGAAAGGACCAACAAGGATTCAGATTCCAGGCCTGGCACTGGGTCCCATGGGTGCAGCAGTCCCCTCCCCCACAGGTGTGCACACCCTCATTTAGGGTCCTGCCTGAGGACTGCTCCAGGAACTCTAAGGGGGTAGAAGAGCCTTCTGCCCACTCCTCGCCACCCCCAGCTTCTCATCACCCCCAGCCCCACACAGCACACCACTCTGCAAGCAGAGAGCCCATATGTGCCCAAAGCCACCTGTTCCTCCCCACCCGTACTGCAGGGATGCTTGGACGACCCCACACACAGAGCCCCAGAGTGCAAGCACTGCTCCAGGGCAACCCAGCGCATGGAATGTGGAGGCCACAGAGGCAGCAGCTGGCCCAACTCTAGGTCAGCCAGGCAAACAGACAGCTGTCCTAGAGGCCGGAGCACACGGCATTCCGGACATTTCAGCACAGCTATAAAACGGCCGCGCCCCCGCCAGAGGTTGGGGGGCAGGGCGGGCTGCACCCCTCTCAGCACCACCCAGACGGATCTGGGACTGGCGCCCCCTGCTGGGCACAGGAAGGGGGTTGAGAACAGCGCTCTAAGACCCTGCCCCTAGCTCTGGGCCCCCAGGCTCTTGGGGCCAGGGCTGGGAATCCTGGGCTTAACTGGGGGGATCTCGAGCAAGCTCCTGCCACATCCCGGGTGTAAAGTGGGATGAGAAGAGGGGTGCACCCCACAGAAGGGCCCGTGGGACCCCGGGACGACATCTGGTGCCTCCTCGGTACTTTTCCAGACGCGCCCGGGGATATTTGAGAAGGGAGCGTGAGCCCCTGAGGGATCCCAGGGCTGCTGGGAGCAGAGGCCGGAGCAGCTGAGGCGAGAGGGTGGGGACTGGGTTGGCTACAGCCAGCAGCAGGTGAGGAGAGGGGGAGGGGAGAGGAAGTGGGGGCGGGGCAGAAACAGGGACCCCAGCCCAGACTGCCAGCTCCTCCTCTCAGTGCACAGCAGCCCCTCTGGGGCTGACACTCCCTACCCGGCGTCCCCCTCCAGGTTCCCCAGCCCCAGGGACCATCACTTCCTTTGCTCCCAGGAGCACCGAGGGTCACTCCAGCCCTGCTCTGAGCTGGACGCCTTCCCCACGCCAGCTGGGCTGTGTCCAGGAGGCTGGGCTTCGGCCGGAGCCGCAGACAGCTGCCCCACCTCCACCCCAGAGGGCGGCTTGCCTCCGCTCGGGCCAGCCTCTCCAAGTGGCCTGCTGGCCACCTGCCTACCCCCTGGGGAAGCCCCCAGTCCTCAGCTGCTCCAGGCTACAGCCCTTCTGAGCCTTGGCCCACCATCTCCCCCTCCCCTTCTTTCCCCAGGCGTGCAGCCCTGCTCTGGAGTACACAGCCATGACACACACACACACGTGAATACACACATACGCACATACGTGCTCACACTCACACCCTGTGCCCAGCATTAACTGTGAGGCAGCCCGGTTTCCATGTGGCTTTGGCCAACGGCACATTCTCCTAGCCCAACATAGAATCATGTCACCCCTGCTGGCACTCCTGGTGGAGACTGGGTCTGGGGCATGTGCTGAGCAGACCTGCGGGGGCATGGGCCTGGGGAGCATGCCCCCCACCCGCAGCTGTGCACACACACAACAGACTCTGGTTTCCCCATTTGGAGAAGGAAGTGAGTTCCTCCGAGGCCAGACGGAGCGGGCTGCGGCCACGCCCCCTTGGATGTTCATTCATTCTTTAGCAGCCATTGATTCAGCCAGGCTGTGCTGAACACACATGGCTTGCCAGATCCCCACGGGGAGGCCAGCCGTGACCCCCACCCCGAATGCTGTGGTCCCACAACCCAACAAGGGCATGCGCCAGAGGTGGGATATGGCCTAAGGGGCTTGGGAGACCTCCGCTGGCCTCACAGCCAGGGGTGGGAAGCTTGTGGGGACCGGCAGGCTAGGCAGAGCAGGGTAGAGGCAGGCAGTGCTGTCCCAGGACGGAGGGGAGAAGCAGAGGCAGACAAGGGAGCGTGCCCCCCACCTGCAGATCTGCGCATCACGCCGAGAACTCTGAGTACCCAGGCAGGGTGGCTCAGCCACGGGGTCTCCCATTGCTGGCAGCACAAACCAAGAAAGAGATTTCTGGAAAGGGAAATCCACAAAGGACCCATCAAGCGACCCAGAGAATCACCCTGGACAGCTCAAGCTGCAGGGCCAGGGGGTGAGACCTGGAGGAAGCCCCTGGCTCCTGGCTCCGGCCTGGCCCAGCCCTGGCGGATGAGCAGACAGAGGCCCCTCTCTCTCTCCCCTCCTCCTCCTCATTGCAGCTCTGCTTTTCACACAAATACAAAGTAACTCTTTCTCCCCGGAGTCCCTAGTCTCCTATTAAGTTTAGGTAAGAGAGAGACAATGTAACGAGAGGGCCGGGTGCGACCCAGGGCACTGCAGGCAGGGCCTTAGCTGCAGGGTCCTTCTGGCAGTCACGGCTGGCTAACCCCTGGGTTCCCTGTCCCCTGCCTCCCCGCCCAGCAGGAAGGGATCTGCAAGTCCCCAGAGAAAACAGATGTAGGTCCCTTGAGTCAGCTCCTGCGGCTGCTGAGGAAAAAAAAGAAAAAAGGCAGGGACAGGAGCTGCCCACGTGGCCTCAGCTGTCGGCATCCATGTGTCGCTGCCCGACATGTGCAGGGCCAGAGCCGCCGGAGCCCCTGCCGGGAGCGAGTGAACAAGTGCCTTCCTCCCGGGGACCCTCCGCCCCCGGCCACCAGCACCCATGGGGGCACTCGTGGCCAAACTGCTGCTGCCCACCCTCAGCAGCCTGGCCTTGCTGCCCACCGCCAGCGTGGCGGCCAAGAGGCGCTTCCACATGGAGGCCATGGTCTACCTTTTCACCATGTTCTTCGTGGCGGTGAGTCTGGGGGCTTGCGGGGGCGTGAGGAGGTGGAGGAAGCGCCAGAGGGAGGGGGCCTGGGACCGGACAGGGCCCGGGAGAGGACAGGCCCACCCCAGACTCAAGTGCCGCTACCTGGGCCTTCCCGGGATGCCCACGTTCTGGCTCCTGGCTCCAGCTTCCCAGCAGCACCACAGCCAGGCAGACCCAGGCAGACCCCAGCAGGAGCCCTTCCGTCTGTGGAGCCTTCCTGAGCCAGAGCCTGCTCCCCCGGGGCCTCCCGCCCAGCAGGCACCCGGGCTCCGGGGGCTCATCCCCTTAGCGGCTGAGTACCTGGTCCCTTGTAGGCCTTTCTTTCCTTCTGGGGCCCCCAGCTTGTGTGTCTGCCTGTCCGCCTGCCTGTCCGCCCGCCTGTCTACCCCTCTGCCTGCCCATCCACACCACCCGTCCTTCTGTCTGCCCATCTGCCCTTCTCCTGCCCGTCCACCCATCTGCCTGCCCGCCTGTCTGCCTCTGCTCTTCCAGCCTCGCACCTCCACGTTGAGTTTTCTCTCCATCTCTCCTCTCCCGTCTGGCTCTCCTCGGCTGTCAGGCACCAAGCCCCACCGAGTGCCCTCTCCGACGCTCAGCCCCTCTCCTGCCCCGTCTGGCTGCCTACCCAGCCTGTGTGCCTGACCGCTGGGCACCTGCCCCTCCCCCCAGCCTGTCCTGTTGGAGCCACCCTTATGCACCCCTTCTCTCATCAATGCCAGTTCTAGGAAGCCCCACCCCCTAGTGCAGGCCAGCTCTCCTACAGAATGGCAAGGACACGTGTGGTCACAGACGGAGCCCGTGGGCACATACAGGTGCTTGCAGAAACGGCACATGCTTTGTACCTGCATCTCGAGGTGGTCAGGTCTGGCTTGGCCTGCAGCAGGAACGGGGCACGCCCAAGGGCTGGGGGCACGGCCTCAGCCCCTCCCGCGGTGCTGGGGCCCTTGGGTGGGGGCTGGGCCACGAGCGCTCACATTGCCTGCTCCTGGCTGGCCACTGGCCTGGGCCATCTCGGGCAGATCAGCTGGGAGCCCGGAGCAGAATGGGACCTCCCGGCTGGGGATACCGGCTGGGATTTTGTTCGCAGGGGCCTGGCTCCCCTTCCCTCCCTGCTTGGGCTGAGCTGGCCCCACAGCTGCCCGTGAGGCCAGTCTTGGAGACGTGCTCTGCCAGCCCCAGAGCGGCATGGGCAGCTGCCTCGTGTCACAGATGTCCTCAGGACTCCAAGCCACAGCCAGCGCCCGGTGTGTGGTTTCTGCCCCGCCCCCCACCAATCGCCATAGCTGGACTGCTGGGAACTCCAGGATGCAGGGTTCTAGTCCCCGCGCCTGGAGGAGGCGCCCCATGGTCAGCCACCGGCCTGAATGTCCACAGCCACAGCAGCAGCTCTCACCGCCCGCAGCCACGCCCACACAGCCACGCCCACACGGCCACATTCCACACACACTCCATACGCCCCACCGCACCCACCTGGCTATATCTTACCAGCGAGGCACGTGCCAGGGTGGCCCTGCCCTCCTCCCTGGGCAGGTGCCCGGTTACCCTCCCATGCTGCAGGCAGAGCTGCATCCCTTAGGGGCACCCTGCTCCCTGTCACGGGGGGAGGGCGGTGCAGGCGGTAGACATTGAGAGGTGTGGCTGAGCAGCACCCAGCCCAGCCCGCAGAGGTCTGGAACCAGATCAGAGTTGACAGCCGCCACTGCCTGCTCAGGACACAGCTCCTCTCACGTCCCTCACTGTTCCTGCCCTGCCCCCAGGGGGCTGCTCCCTCCTGCCCCGCTGGGCTGACCAGGAGTCCACCACGCTGGCCCCTGCCCGGCTCACACTAGTGGGACTTGTCGAGGTGATACGACCACGTCATTAAATCTGACTGTGAGGACGACAAGGGGGGACGCCCGAGCACGGTCGGGTCCCACACAGAGATCTTGCTGAGGCCGGGCCGGGCCAAATCCAGCAGGCTGAGCTCCATCTGGGTCTCCTGTGTGGGTGCAGGCACCCTGCCTCCCAGGCACAGGGCAGGGAGCTGGCCTGGAAGCGGAAGTGGCTGTGCTGTTGATGGCCACTTAGATGACAGCAGCACACCACTGATGTAGAATCCCGCATACGGCAATCCCCTGGGCAAGACCCTCCCAACCCCGCACAGCCACAAGAGCAGGCTGTCCCTGCCGCAAGGTTCTAGCCAAGTGCCCAGGCGACACTCAAACTCCCCCTGGAGCCGCCGGTGGAAGGGGCAGTTTTCAGAGGCACCTCTGCTGAGTGGCACAGGGCCCTGCCGCCCAGGAGAAGCCGTGAGCTCCTCACACGCGTGTCCCCCTTGAATCCCGTGAGACTGCCGGGGGAGGGCTGGTGGGGACCCTGTTTCTCAGGCCTGTGCTGACCCTGCCGGCCCCCGCAGCTGTACCACGCCTGCAGCGGGCCGGGCCTGTCAGTGCTGTGCTTCATGCGCCACGACCTGCTGGAGTACTTCAGTGTCTACGGGACGGCGCTCAGCATGTGGGTGTCACTTATGGGTGAGTGCCACCCCCAGCCCCCTCGTCCTGCTCCAGGGTGCCAGAGTCGCCCGGAGGAAGCACCCTGCTGGAACAGGGACCTGTGCGGGGGGGGGGGGCTAGCGTGCACCTGCCCCACCTAGAGCTGCTGGGGAGCTCTGGCTGCTCCCAGCTCAGCTACCTCCTCTCCACGAGGCCCCCACAGTGGGAGCACCCATGAAGCACTCAGCTCTAGGCCCTGGGGGCTTCATCCCAGTGATCCCTTGGGGCAGACTCCCCCCCACACACACACACACTCCCATGTGCTCCTGTGACTCCAAACTCCCGGGTCGGGCTGATCCCCAGGGCCCTGAGGGTCCCTCACCCTGGAGCTTTCTCTTCCTGTCCGTCCCCCGCCTTCCAGCGCTGGCCGACTTCGACGAGCCGCAGAGGTCCACGCTGGTGATGCTCGGCGTGCTGACCATCGCCGTCCGCGTCTACCATGACCGCTGGGGTTACGGAGTGTACTCAGGCCCCATCGGCTCGGCCGTCCTCATCATTGCTGCCAAATGGGTGCGTGCCCCACCCCGTCCCCGGGACCTGGGGCTCCTGCCAAAACCCAAGCACAGGGCTCTCAGGGCCAGCTGGCCGTGCCCACCACCCAGGTTCCTGACTCTGAGCCTGCTGTGGGTCCACAGACACCCTGCACCTCACCCCCAGGCCCTGGGGAAGCCACTGCCACCTGCCCACAAAGGCCTAGTCAGCCGTGCCGACATGGGTGTTGTTAGCAAGTGGGATTCCAGCCGCACTGAGGACCAAGGCCTGGGCGGGCTCAGAGGACTTCCTGGCAGGCGTGCTAACAAGGAGTGGTATGGCATACGCTGGGCTCAGCCTGCATCGGTTTTCAACACCAAAGTGCCTTCCTGGCTGTGAGGCCACCCAAACTAGCCCAGGGCACGACAGGGCAGGTCATAGAGGCCCAGGGCAGCAGTGGCCAAGGGGCTGCCTCCCCCCACCCCATCCCCGCTCCTGACTGGCAGCCAGGCACCGAGATAACCCCCTCTCCGTCCCATTCTCTCTGGATCCCAACTCCAAGCTCAGGGCGAGGCCAGCAGAGGGCAGCTCGCAGGGCAGCAGGGGCCAGTGGTGGGGAGGAGTCCTGGCTGTGGCAAGCTGGGGAAGCCTCTGCAGCCCAGGACTGTGGTACCCACTTTGCCCTTGGGGTGCCGGAGAAGTCGAGGCCCGAGGAGATCCCAGCTTCCCTGGAGATCAGGGCGCAGGAGGCAGCCACGAGAAGCTGCGCCAGGGACGTGGCAGGCTCTGATTTGCTGAATTAGCCTCAGCCCGCCCCTGCTACGTGGCTCACAGGGGATACTTCCCGGCAGGACCTGAATTCCCCAGAACAGCATGCCCTTGTCCCTGTCCCCACACGGGGCCCAGGCGGCCACACAGATGGAGCTTCAAGGGCAGTTATTTGCCGGCCCTGGCGTGGCTTTTCTCCATGGCTCGTTCCTGATGCGAGGGTTCAGGAACAGCAGACAGAGGAGAGAGCCATGCCAGGCCCACGGTGAGCTCGAGCTGGGGCCCTGCCCCTCACCAGAGGCACCCAGCTCACCCAGAGCCACCTGTGCCTTGGCAGGAGGGGGAGAGTAACGGCACAGAAGGGGTACCAGGCACCATTTCCTGATCTGTTGAAAGCAAAGCTGCCCTGGCCTGGTGTGAAACTGGCTGTGGGCCTCCTGTTCCCCAGCCAGGGCCATATGCAGCTGAAGGGGTGCTGTGTGCAGCTGGAGGGTGCCATGTACAGCTGGGGGATACCGTGTGCAGCTGAAGGGCTGCCGTGTGCAGCTGAAGCGGTACCGTGTGCAGCCAGGGGTGCCATGTGCAGCTGAAGCGGTGCCGTATGCAGCTGGGGGGTGCCTGTGCAGCCAGGGGTGCCGTGTGCAGCTCGGGGGTGCCTGTGCAGCCAGGGGTGCCGTGTGCAGCTGAAGCAGTGTCGTGTGCAGCTGGAGGGTGCCGTGTGCAGCCAAGGGTGCCATGTGCAGCTGAAGCGGTGCCGTGTGCAGCTGGTGGAGAGTAGGAGTCACACACTGCCCAGGTCCCCAGCAGAGCCTGTACCAGCCAAGGCTGGGGGTCGGGCACCCTCTTGCCAGGCTCTGCCACCTTCCCGGGCTTAATGACGCCCTGAGTTCTGAGCACTCATTGGAGGAGTCAGCTGGGGGTGGTGACCGCTACACCAGCTCCTGTACTTGGGATGGCAGCCAGGGCGGTCCCGCGGGCCCCACTGAGGCCACGTGGCATGGGGACCTCAGGAGCTGTCAGTAACCATGGGCAACCCCTGGCTGAGGAGCACGGGTGCAGGGTGGGCTGGCCCGTGCCAAAGAGACAGGAGGGGAGCCAGGGTCCTGGGTGGGAGGCAGGTGACCCAGGCTGGGCCCACCGACGGCTGGGGGTGAGGAGGACTGTCCCCAACACACTGTTGCCCTGTCGACCTGCAGCTGCAGAAGATGAGGAAGAAGAAGGGCCTGTACCCTGACAAGAGCGTCTACACGCAGCAGCTGGGCCCCGGCCTCTGCTTCGGCGCACTGGCCCTCATGTTGCGCTTCTTCTTTGAGGTACCGAGCCCGGGTGGCATGGGGTTGGGGGTGCAGCCGGGTGGGCCTGGGGCCCCCAGAAGGATGGGGACCATCTCCCGAGAGCTGGGATCTGAAAAGCCATGCCCAGCCCTGCAGGAGGGGGAGAGAAAAAAAGAGGGAGGCAGCTTACCAGCTGCCTGCTGACGGGCGGCCTCTGCCTCACAGGACTGGGACCACACGTACGTCCACAGCTTCTACCACTGCGCCCTGGCCATGGCCTTCGTCCTGCTGTTGCCCAAGGTCAACAGGAAGGCGGGGGACGCGGGGGCCCCGGCCAAGCTGGACTGCCCCACCCTTTGCTGCGCCTGCATCTGATGCCGCTGCCCCCGACCCCAGCTGCCCACCTGCCTCCCCTTTCACCGGGAACTTGGCCCCACCCTTGACAGAAGATCTTCCTCGTCCCCAGCCCGGCCACCAGCACAGGGCATGGCCAGCATCCACCTCCCCTGCCCGCTGTACCCTCCGCCAGCCCGAGCCCAGCGCCTGTCCCCCGCGTCCATTTGCCTTTGGAAACACATGATGACTGTGCCTCAGGCTCTGGCTGCACCCAGCTGGGAAGGCCCGGCCCTCAGCCCTGTGCCCGTCAGGAGGCAGGGCATGCACTGTGCCATTTCAGAACAAGTGCCTTCCTCCCTGCCCCTTGTGTTTGTCCTGGAGCGCTGTTTGGGTGGGTGGGAAGGCGCTGCTGGGAACCGGTCCCCACAGCCTGTCTGCTGCCTGGGGCAGCCACTGCTCGCCCTAAGGTCACCTCTGTCCTCTGCCACATCCCCTGGCTGCCTGTCCACCTGATGGGCATCAGGCCACACATGCCTGTGCACACACGGACACACAAGCCACACGCCATGCACGCACCACGAAGTTGTGTGCACAGCACAGCTGCAGATACTGAACACCGTGAAAGAAGTTGGACAGCCTGAACTCGCTGTCCCTCTTGGAGCCTCAGTCTGGGGTGGGGGGCAAAGCAGGTGCCTGGGGGCAGGGGGCGGGCTCTCCCCTCCCCCTCTGCCTTTCCCCCAGCCAGCAGAGGCCACACTGACAGGCACTTGGCTGCAGAGCCCTGATTTATGGAGGCCGGCTGGGAGCTCCGCCAAATGTGTAAGTCACGGGCAATTACGAGGCACACTCCAGTCCCCGGTGCGGCGCTGGTAGACCTGTGCCAGCCTCTCCCCTTGCAGCAAACAGCTGGCCACCACAGCTACCCCTCACGCATCAGAATGAGGATCCTGGGGGCCAGGGAGGAGGGGACGACGCCACTGCCGCTGTCCAGGGGTTCCCAGGGGCCTCCAGACTGACAAGAAGGGACAGTGTGATGTTCAGACTCCTGGTGGTGCTCAGGCCCCTACTTGTGGACCTGGAGCCGGAAAGGGCCTCCGAGGTCACCCCAACCAGCCCTGATGAGAGCTGCCGAGATGCCCTCCAGTAAGCGGGCACGGTTGCCACGGGCACCCCGGCAGGTCTGGGCTCGGCAGTCCCGGGACATGGCTGCCTGTGACAGACTTCTTCAACGTACCTTCATTTTGACAAAGTCTCATTTAAGCAGCTGTGTATTCTGGGCTAGGGTGAATGAAGGGGTCCCAGTGATGCTGGGAGTGGGGGGAAGATACACCTCATGTGAAATATACGATTGGCTGGCTAGGCCACTGAAACCCAAGGTGGATGTGTGTGGGACCCGGAGGGTGGCCAGGGGTCCGATGCCCACAGGGCTGGTGGCTGCTGTGTGGGTCGGAGCTGCTTCTGTGGGCACACATCTGGGGGAAGGCTTTAGACCAGAGACACGGCAGTGGGGCCTGGTGCCCAGGACCTGGCTTCAGCCCTGTTCCCAGTTCACAGGTGGACCGGCAGGTGATGGACTTGCCCCTGCAGCTTGTCAGAGAGGTGTCGGTGGGCACAGACCCAGCCATAGTCCCCATGAGCCTGCCCACGCCCACCCATCCCAAGGCCAGCCACCGCTAAGCCTCCAGCCCTTGACCCTGCCTACGTGTGCCCGGCGCTAGTCAGAGCTCACCGCAGGCAGGCAGGGAGGGAGGGTGCTGCACTGCGCAGCGGGCAGACACCGAGAGAGGGATTATAAACAGTGCTGTAACCTAGACAAAACAGTCTATTGTAGCGGCCTGGCCCGCCCCGCGTGAGACTGGCATGGTGTGGGGAGCTGCCCGTCTCCACCCCCCCCCCCCAAGGGCGTCCTCAGCCCAGTAGGGCTGTTTGCGTCTGAGGGCTGCGGCCTTTGTCGCGTCTGCTACTGAAATTTCCTGTCCAGGAAGACCAGCTGAAACGCGACACTTTTATTGCCCCTTGTAAACCGGCTTTATGGTCCCCATCCACTTCACCACCAGGGGCTGGGAGCTGCAGCTAGGGGCGGGCCAGGAATTCCGCTCTGCAGGGGCGGGATCCCAGCAGGGCTCAGCTGGGGAATTCAGGAGGAGCCGCGGAGGCCCAGGGGTGCTGGCGCGTCACGGGCTGGCTCGGCGCAGCCAGCAGGAAGCCTGAGCCACAGGGGACCGGCCGGCTGGCGGGTGGGGTGACCTGGACCATCACCCCTCACTCTGCCCCCAGCTGCCTCACTTTGAGTGGGGACAGCAGTGCCCTCCACCCGTGCCCCCCAACGCCAAGGGCAGGCAGAGCCTTGGCAGCTGGCCGGACACAGCCAGGGCAGCAAGGAGGCGTGGGCGGGGCCAGGCCAGGCCACAGACCGGGTCCCAGCTCAGCCACTGTCTCACTTCACGTCTGTGTCCAGTCTGGGTTGGCGTGTTTGGGTGAAGAATGAGTGCAACAGGAGCCCCGGTCCACCCAGGAGATCCTCCCCCTGGGAAGGCACCACACTCCCGGAGATCGCCAAACACACTGCCGGGAAGGCCTGAGACCCTCACCGGCACAGCGGCGTGGGCGGACCTGGGCCAGCCTGCAGACACCTGGCTCGGGTTCTGGTTCTGCACCCCGTGAGAGGGGGAGAGGCCTCCCACAGGAGCCACGTGGCTGAGAGCTGTAGCTTGGGCAGCACAGGAGCAGGCAGTGACTGGGTCTGCAGGTCAGAGCTCAGGCTGAGCTGGAGAGAAGCGAGCAGCTGCCATGCACGAGACCCCTGGCCAGCAAAGCCAGGGGAAAGGGTGGGTGGGCTTGCTGGGCCCTCACCACCTATTCCTTGGTGTGAAGAACCTAGGTGTTTCCTGCTTTTGTGATCCTGCCTTAATGGCTTGGCTGGGGGCTGTGTGAACTCCAGGCCTGATCGTCTACGTGACACCAACACCGACACCGGCAGGACACCTGGCAGGTCACGTAGGCAAAGCACACCTCAGGAAGGAGGCCCCTGGTGTTTGATAAGATCCACCGCCCTATAGCTCATCAATTGTATCTTTTGAAAGTTGCTTGCTGTAAACCCACCCATAGAAGCCTGCTAAATCATGACTGTATAATTAATAGCCTGAAATGTATAAGAACTGGGGGGGCTTGGGCTCGCTGGCTCTCTCTCTGGCTCAGCTTCTTTTTCCCTCTCTGCGGATCCTGCAACAGCCTCGCTGCGGCTGCCCCTCCCCACTCAGCCCTGCTGGGGCTGGGAGACCTAGGCTAACCTGAATAAACCACCTTTATGCCTCAGCACCGACTTCAGACTTGATGATTATCTGGGGATTCCAAAACCCGGCAGAACAGGCGCGCCTCTGCAGTGTGCGGGTCCTGCGCCTGGCACCTGCTCCGCCTGCTGGGGGGCATCCAGGCACTGCCTCTCCTCTGGCAAAGCGGGTCCTTCTGTGGAGAGGGACAGGGGTGGAAGGGCCAGGGTCCAGGCACTGCCTGCAGCACACAGGCCAATCCGGCAAGGCCAGGGACAGCATCCTGCCGCCAGCAGCGGTGCGTGAGAGGCCTAGGCAAGCAGGCAGTCATGTCCACCTCTACCTTGGCAAGGGCAGCTTCTGCCCTGTTGGAGAATCCACTCCCAGACCGGCACCCACAGTGAGCCCACCGATCCAGCCTGGGGGTTGGCTCTGTGGTGTGCCCCCTGATTCAGGCTACGGCACCTGCTAAGGCCAAAGGAGGCGAACTTGGGCCAGTTCTCCCCAGACCAGGAGGCTGGCAAAAGCATCCAGTCCATGTGTGGGTCGTTGACTCCACCCCACCCCAGCCACACACCGTGGGCAGCTTTTCCCAGGCCACCTGGAGCCCCTGGAACCCTGGGCTCGGCTGGGAGGAGCCAGGTCCTAGGCAGTGGGGCAGACGGAAGCAGCAAGCACTGTGCCTGGCTCCTCTTGTGCAGCCGTGGGGCCTGGCTGCGCTCTGGGGTGCGGCTCCCTGCCTCCGGCTTTGTTTTCCTAACAGCTTGCAAACGGGAGCCCCAGCTGGAGCCAGGCTCCCGGGCAGCTGTGTCCACATCTGGAAGGTGTTTAGGTAGAACCCGGGCCCCTGCACGGCACAGCTGGTCATCACCCACCGCCAGCCCAAAAACTCCTGGACACTGTGGCCTGGGACCCTGGCCCTGGCTGCTGGGGCCTGGCTGGGGTGGGGCAGGTAAGCCGGGGCCTCCGCAGGCTGCTGGCAACCACTGAGGGAAAGGCCAGAACTGGAGCTGTCAGTGCAGAGACCAGCTTCCCAGGCCCGTGAACACCTGCTGCGCCGTGGGGCCTGTGTCCTGTCCATCCCATCGTGGCCATGCCTGGGTCCACCTCCTCACGGGCTCGGCCAACTCACCTGACAGGCTGGAAATCTGACGAGGCCCAGACTCCGTCTGCATGCCTGAGGACTCATCTTGGGAAAACCAGGACCTGAACCCCTCCCCCTGCCCTAGTTCGGGGTGTGTCTGTCCTCACTGCCAGCTGTTGGCTACCCCTCAAGGCCTCCCAGCAGGTCCTGCCAGGATACCCTAGTGTGGACTGTGCCAGAGGCGACTCCCTGCCCACCAGCAGGTTGGAGGTACCAAGCCTGCTGCACACATGGTGGTCACAAGTGTGTACAAGGGGGAGGCTACGTGGCCATGCCACCTGCCAGGAGGAGCTGGTTGGGGAGTGGAGCCACACACACAGGATGGATCAGCACCTAAGGGTGTTTCCTACCTGCTCCTGCTGCTCCGTGTTTCTCAGCCACCTCCGAGAAGGCCTCGGGCCTGTGCCAAAGCAGAGCCAGTGTCAGAAACGGCACAAGGGCTGCTACCCGCCACCATGCGGTGCCACCCAGGACCCCAGTCCCTTACCACAGCCCCTCCCCCTGCAATGGCCAAAGTGGAGCTGAGCTGGCCATGGCCAGGAGCCAGGAGCTTCTTCCAGGTCTCCCATGTGGGTACAGGGTCCCAAGGCTTTGGGTCACCCACTGCCACTTTCCCAGACCACAAGCAGGGA